CTACTCAAACCCACACTACTTGCAGATGACACTACATACGTCTACTCTCACCCGAGCCCTGTCATGCTAGCCAATACTGTAAATACCGAATTACATAAAATATCAACCTGGATGAGGACCAACAAACTTACTCTAAACATTGACAAAACCTACTACATTCAGTTTGGTAACAGAGCTACAGATGTGTCTCTAAACATAATGATAAATGGATCACCTATCACAAAACTCACAGAGGGAAAATTATTAGGAATCCACCTTGATAATAGACTCAAATTTCAAACACATATACAACAAATTCCCACTACAGCCAGCACACTCCACCAATATTCAAAACACTAAACCTACTCACCATACAAAACATCCATACTTATTACTGCACCTATTACATACATAGAACACTTAACTCTGATATTAACCCTCCCTCAAACATCTCCTTGCCAACCTCAACAGAACACATGACCATAACACAAGGCACAGATCACTCTTTGATGTTCCTCGTGTCTATCTCACACTATACAAAAACTAAAAGCACATAAAAGGCCCTAAAATCTGGATTCTTACCTGTGAATATAAAAGAAACACTGTCTTTTTATAAATTCAAGTCTCTTCTCAAAAATCATTTTACTCACCCACAACTAAATAAATACTGAATAATTGTATTCTCATATATGTATCTCATATATGTATCTCAAATATGTATCTCATATATGTATCTCATTATTGTATCTCATTATGTATCTCATAAATGTAAACCCTGGGGCCCCAATCAAACTTTGTTATTATTTAACTTCATTACCTAACATAATACTCCATTTTAGTGATTACATTCTACTGATTACATTCTACTGATTACATTCTAGTGATTACATTCTACTGATTACATTCTACTGATTACATTCTACTGATTACATTCTCCTGATTACACAGCAACACAGTAAATGACCATATGACCTGTCTTTGTAATATTCATTTGTACTAAATTGTTATCTGTTTACAATAATTTTTGTACCACTGAATATATCATTCCTTAGTTAATCTTAAGTTAATTTTAAGCTGCCTGTAATGTGCTGCATTCAAGTGGCTTCGGCATTGTGGAAAATACTGTATATATTTTCCAGAAATTCAGTATTTATATGTAAATAGATGGCCATACTGTATTTAATAATATTTATGTCATAGAAAACGGAAAGCCTGCGTCTGCGCAGACGACACTCGCCATCTTGGGTTTTGAATTGGATACAACGTTAATATAAAGGGAAGAATTTTTCGTGCTCTATAGGTTAAAATTGGATTGACACCTCTCAAATAGGAAGCGAAATTGTTGGATGTGCATTCCTGCATAACTTGAGATGTCAGACGACTGGACAAGACAGCTCCTGGAACCTCAGATAAACTCTCTAGATTTGTGTATAATTCTGGCCAGCATTATTTTCATAAATTTAGTTAGTGAGGTTTTCTGAGTATGATACAACTTAATATCCAGCCAAATTGGTGAGTGATATTAAGATATATTTTCCTTCTGTTGTATAATTGTGTATATATATATATATATAACCATTTATTATTTTTAATATACAGTCCACAAATTTATATATTTACCAGCATTCCTGGTGTATGTATATCTCATTAATAATTAATAAGTCCAGAGCAACTTGTGGTTATGACAGTGGTAGGTATCGAAGGGGAACATTTTTTGCGACCTAGGTGTCCCAAATTCCTACTTGTCTATTTAACTTTCATTAATAATAATTATCTTTGTTATTTACTGTTATGTACATAATTAGTTACATACAGATAAATGCAATTTTCCACAGGCATGATGCATTTAACTGTATTCTTTTGTACTTCTCTGTATCATGTTCAAATTAATAAATAAATAAATTTGTTGTCTATTCTTACTGTCTATTTGTTGTCTATTCTTACTGTCTATTTGTTGTCTATTCTTACTGTCTATTTGTTGTCTATTCTTACTGTCTATTTGTTGAGTTAACAGAATTCAAGAATTAACCTGTGTAAGCAAGACTGGTATTGTTTTCAGACATCACCAGACAACTTTTATTCATTTATTTGTACATTTGGACTCTTTTTTTAGCATTTCTATGCAAAGTTTTTGTATGTTTGCCATCGTCTTCTAACTTTTGTGTGTAAGGATAAGGTGAGATAAGTTGAGATAAGGTGAAATAAGGTGATGTAAGGTGATGTAAGGTGGTATAGGGTGAGATACGGTTAGATAAGGTAATTTAAAGTGAGATAAGGTGATAGTAAGTGATATAAAATGGAATAAGGTGAGATAAAATGATATAATGTGATACAAGGTGGGATAAGGTGAGATAAGATGAGATAATGGTTAAATAAAGGAGGATAATTAGATGGTATTGTTGCATGTGGCAACTCAAGTGAAGGTATAAATGAAGGTGGGTGGGTGTGGGCGGCTCAGTCTCCCTCAGGACGGCGGTGTGGGTTTACGCTCCTCGTCCTCGTCACTACCATAATAGTAAAGGTATGTTGTTTACTATCAACTTTACTACCCGTACACTAACAAACCACGATAATAAAGAATTAATAAATAACTAGCCATTACTGCCTCTCTAACCGCCTTAACCGTTTTTCGCATTTTTTTTATTCATCCCAGTGAGAACTCGCGTATTTTTCCCCCACATATTTCCCTCTATAGTTCCAGTTCCTCGGATCAAAATCACCATAATGGACTTAAAACCGCCCCTATACCCTCCCTCCCCTCAGGGAAGGTTCCTTGATGTTGGTGAGGGGCTCTTGATTTAGGGAATTGGATCTGTGCACAAAATGCGCGCTAAAGGAATAACAGGAAAAGTCGGTCGATGGATCTATAATTTCCTCACTAACAGAACACAGAGAGTAGTCGTCAACAGAGTAAAGTCCGAGGCAGCTACGGTGAAAAGCTCTGTTCCACAAGGCACAGTACTAGCTCCCATCTTGTTCCTCATCCTCATATCCGACATAGACAAGGATGTCAGCCACAGCACCGTGTCTTCCTTTGCAGATGACACCCGAATCTGCATGACAGTGTCTTCCATTGCAGACCCCTGCAAGGCTCCAGGCGGACATCAACCAATTTTCAGTGGGCCTGCAGAAAAACAATATGGGAAATTCAACGAAAGAGAAATTTCAATTACTCAGATATGGTAAACACGATGAAATTAAATCTTCATCAGAGTACAAAAAAAATTCTGGCCACAAATAGAGCGAAACACCAACGTCAAAGACCTGGGAGTGATCATGTCGGAGGGGTCTCACCTTCAAGGACCATAAAATTGTATCAATCGCATCTGCTAGAAAAATGACAGGATGGATAATGAGAACCTTCAAAACTAGGAGGCCAAAGCCCATGAGACACTCTTCAGGTCACTTGTTCTATTAGGCTGGAATATTGCTGCACTCTAACAGCACCTTTCAAGGCAGGTGAAATTGCCGACCTAGAAAATGTACAGAGAACTTTCACGGCGCGCAAAACGGAGATAAAACCCCTCAATTACTGGGAGCGCTTGAGGTTTCTAAACCTGTATTCCCTGGAACGCAGGAGGGAGAGATACATGATTATATACACCTGGAAAATCCTAGAGGGACTAGTACCGAACTTGCACACGAAAATCACTCACTAACGAAAGCAAAAGACTTGGCAGACGATCACCATCCCCCCAATGAAAAGCAGGGTGTCACTAGCACGTTAAGAGACCATACAATAAGTGTCAGGGGACCGAGACTGTTCAACTGCCTCCCAGCACACATAAGGGGGATTACCAACAGACCCCTGGCAGTCTTCAAGCTGGCACTGGACAAGCACCTAAAGGCAGTTCCTGATCAGCCGGGCTGTGGCTCGTACGTTGGTTTGCGTGCAGCCAGCAGCAACAGCCTGGTTGATCAGGCGCTGATCCACCAGGAGGCCTGGTCACAGACCGGGCCGCGGGGGCGTTGACCCCCGAAACTCTCTCCAGGTAAACTCCAGTTCCCCGAATTAAACCTGAATGTCTCCCCCCCCAGGTGCTGTATAATCCTACGGGTTTAGCGCTTCCCCTTGATTATAATAATAATAATAATAATAATAATAATAATAATAATATACTCTCCCTACCCAAGTGTGGCTGCAGGGGTCGAGTCACAGCTCTTCAGGTTTTAGCGCTTCTTTTAAATACAATAATCGTAGCAATAATCATAATAATAATCATAATTATAATCAGTAATAATCATAATTATAGTCATAGTAATAATCATAATTATAATCATAGTAATTTAATCATAATTTAAATCATAGTAATAATCATAATTATAATCATAGTAATAATAAATAATTATAATCATAGTAATAATCATAATTATAATCATAGTAATAATCATAATTATAATCATAGTAATAATCATAATTATAATCATAGTAATAATCATAATTATAATCATAGTAATAATAAATAATTATAATCATAGTAATAATCATAATTATAATCATAGTAATAATCATAATTATAATCATAGTAATAATCATAATTATAATCATAGTAATAATCATAATACCCATAGTAATAATCATAGTAATAATCATAATTATAATTATAGTAATCATAATTATAATCATAGTAATAATCATAATACCCATAGTAATAATCATAGTAATAATCATAATTATAATCATAGTAATAATCATAATACCCATAGTAATAAACATAGTAATAATCATAATTATAATCATAGTAATAATCATAATTATAATTATAGTAATCATAATAATCATGATAATCATAATAATCATAGTAATAATCATAATAATGATCAGTAATAATCATGATAATCATAATAACAATCATAATAATAATCATTGCAATAATCATAATAATCATAGTAATATAGTAGTGATCATGGTAATAATCATCATAATTAATATAGTAATAATCAGCAGTAATAATAATCATAATCATCGTAGCCATAATAATCGTAGCGGTAATAAAACAGTAAAAATCGTAGCTTTAATAATAATAATAACAGAAATAATCATAATAGTAATCGTAATAATAATTATTATAAATGAATAATAATTATAATTAAATGTTTAGTATGGTGTGAGAGGATAATTATCCTGTCTTAATTAACCTTACTCCGCCAGCGGCAGATGTGGCAATGACGCGTCTGTTTACACTGCATGTTTTGTTTACAATCAGTACATCAGTGTTTACATTCAGTACATCAGTGTTTACATTCACTACATGTGTGTTTACAGTCAGTACATTTGTGTTTACAGTCAGTACATGTGTGTTTACAGTCAGTACATGGGGTGTTTACATTCACTACATGTGTGTTTACAGTCAGTACATGTGTGTTTACATTCACTACATGTGTGTTTACATTCACTACATGTGTGTTTACAGTCAGTACATGTGTGTTTACAGTCAGTACATGTGTGTTTACAGTCAGTACATGTGTGTTTACATTCACTACATGTGTGTTTACAGTCAGTACATGTGTGTTTACAGTCAGTACATGTGTGTTTACATTCACTACATGTGTGTTTACAGTCAGTACATGTGTGTTTACAGTCAGTACATGTGTGTTTACATTCACTACATGTGTGTTTACAGTCAGTACATGTGTGTTTACAGTCAGTACATGTGTGTTTACATTCCACTACATGTGTGTTACAGTCAGTACATGTGTGTTTACAGTCAGTACATGTGTGTTTACAGTCAGTACATGTGTGTTTACAGTCAGTACATGTGTGTTTACATTCACTACATGTGTGTTTACAGTCAGTACATGTGTGTTTACATTCACTACATGTGTGTTTACAGTCAGTACATGTGTGTTTACATTCACTACATGTGTGTTTACAGTCAGTACATGTGTGTTTACAGTCAGTACATGTGTGTTTACATTCACTACATGTGTGTTTACAATCAGTACATGTGTGTTTACATTCACTACATGTGTGTTTACATTCACTACATGTGTGTTTACATTCACTACATGTGTGTTTACAGTCAGTACATGTGTGTTTACAGTCAGTACATGTGTGTTTACATTCACTACATGTGTGTTTACAGTCAGTACATGTGTGTTTACATTCACTACATGTGTGTTTACAGTCAGTACATGTGTGTTTACATTCACTACATGTGTGTTTACAGTCAGTACATCAGTGTTTACAGTCAGTACATGTGTGTTTACATTCACTACATGTGTGTTTACAGTCAGTACATGTGTGTTTACATTCACTACATGTGTGTTTACAGTCAGTACATGTGTGTTTACATTCACTACATGTGTGTTTACATTCACTACATGTGTGTTTACATTCACTACATGTGTGTTTACATTCACTACATGTGTGTTTACATTCACTACATGTGTGTTTACAGTCAGTACATGTGTGTTTACAGTCAGTACATGTGTGTTTACAGTCAGTACATGTGTGTTTACAGTCAGTACATGTGTGTTTACATTCACTACATGTGTGTTTACATTCACTACATGTGTGTTTACAGTCAGTACATGTGTGTTTACATTCACTACATGTGTGTTTACATTCACTACATGTGTGTTTACATTCACGACATGTGTGTTTACATTCACTACATGTGTGTTTACAGTCAGTACATGTGTGTTTACATTCACTACATGTGTGTTTACATTCACTACATGTGTGTTTACATTCACTACATGTGTGTTTACATTCACTACATGTGTGTTTTAACGTCAGTACATGTGTGTTTACATTCACTACATGTGTGTTTTACATTCACGACATGTGTGTTTACATTCACTACATGTGTGTTTACAGTCAGTACATGTGTGTTTACATTCACTACATGTGTGTTTACAGCCAGTACATGTGTGTTTACATTACTACATGTGTGTTTACATTCACCTACATGTGTGTTTACAGTCAGTACATGTGTGTTTACATTCACTACATGTGTGTTTACATTCACTACATGTGTGTTTACATTCACTACATGTGTGTTTACATTCACTACATGTGTGTTTACAGTCAGTACATGTGTGTTTACATTCACTACATGTGTGTTTACATTCACTACATGTGTGTTTACATTCACTACATGTGTGTTTACAGTCAGTACATGTGTGTTTACATTCACTACATGTGTGTTTACAGTCAGTACATGTGTGTTTACAGTCAGTACATGTGTGTTTACATTCACTACATGTGTGTTTACAGTCAGTACATGTGTGTTTACATTCACTACATGTGTGTTTACAGTCAGTACATGTGTGTTTACAGTCAGTACATGTGTGTTTACAGTCAGTACATGTGTGTTTACATTCACTACATGTGTGTTTACAGTCAGTACATGTGTGTTTACATTCACTACATGTGTGTTTACATTCACTACATGTGTGTTTACAGTCAGTACATGTGTGTTTACAGTCAGTACATGTGTGTTTACATTCACTACATGTGTGTTTACATTCACTACATGTGTTTTATACATTCACTACATGTGTGTTTACAGTCAG